AGAGACAGTTTATTGAATACATATCTTTAAATTAGAGTCTTAAACGTAATCGTTGAAAGTATAATAATATATTTCCATTTTAAATTGTTGATTAATTTTAAATGTTATCATTATTATTATTATTATTATTATTATTATTATTATTATTATTATTATTATATTATTGCTATTGTTACTAGTATACACTAACTCGTTATTAATGTTAGCTAAAATATTAAGAGACTCACCCTCTTCCTGGTAGTTCCATTACGTCAACGCTAACACTGTTGACGTATAATCGATCGTTACACCAAAAAAAGCATAGCGATCGCGGTTGAAGCACGTCCATATCATAAGACCAGGATAATTCTACTCGTCTGATCTTGCCAATTGAACCTGACGGATGAGCTATCACCATTCGTACGCTCGTGCCATGTTCTAGTCTCATATAACCACTGAAATTTAAAGAACAATCATCAATTAATTATTAATGGTCAGTTTAGTATGTTTATCTAAATGTAAATTGATCAGGATTAGAATATCACCTAGGTGTGAGATCCATATTACGTATCAGTCCGTTGTCAGCATGAAGAGTTACCTTCATAAAACCTTGAACCCAACTTTCGGCAGTGGGTGGTCTAGCTAGATTGACCGTTATCCTGTAGTGTCTTCCTAAATAATAATTATTCGATTTGTTAGCACAAACGCATATATATATATATATTAAATATTTATTATAGTTATATTACAAGTGATTAACTTTTATCGAATAAAAAATGTCTTGAAAAATTGATGAACATGTTATAAAGATTAATAAGAATAACGAGCAATAATAGCAAGGAAAAACAAATTATAATACAATTTATCATTAAACTTGATATATATATATATATATATTTAACTTACTGCAATAAGGATCTTCTTTGCCAGTGTTAAAAAAAAATTTAGATCCTAGCAACGAGGATACATCTTGTTTAGTGGCTCTACGTCTTAACAAAGCTGGACTAGCATCAGCGTGATAACCCATGATCGCACAGTTTAAACTATCGTTTCCCTTGCAAGAAAAACACTCGCCCTTTAGGAAACTCTTATAGCTCGAACATTCATGAGCTATATACTGACACTTCGAATTGATGCTCTCGGTGAAGAGCTTTATGGCACGTATATGATTGCAAGCCACCAGGACACGTGATGCTTCATCAAAACCTTCACGTATTAAAGTCAACGGTAAAGATGGTGTTGTCTCACTCAAATCCGTACAACCTGGTTGTTCCTTTCCATTATTTGGATAAAAGTCCAGGTGTCCACATGCTTGACTCATCCCATAACCTGGAAGCTCTTATCATATCTTTATTTAATTTTTCATTATCATTTTTCATTTCTTTGTTTTTTTTTATATTTTTATTTTTTTTAATTAATCCTTCATACAATTAATGCCTATCATCGGAGAAATTTCATGAATCCCCCTTTCTCCCCCCCACCCCACCCCAAAAAGAAAAAGAAAATATATATATATATACGAAGCGTAATCTTGATGTTATTTAAAATTATTATTATTAATAATTCATATTATTCATTTAACATTTTCATTTCTATGATATTTAAATAATAATAATGAGAGATATTAAAAAATGATGTTTAGGTATCTTTTCTTTTTCTTATAATGTTCTCTCCAATAAAATATATGTCACGTAAAAGTGAAATTTCATTTTTTTTTCAAGAAGATGCAACTACAAGTATTAAAACACATTTATTTGTGCTAATTGCTTCGATGTTGTTTGTCATTATTATTATTATTATTATTATTATTATTATTATTATTATACGAATAAATTTATCCGTATCGCATTAATTTGATATTAGATAATAAGGAAAGTTTCTTAACAATTGAATTGCTTTCAATCTTATTATTATTTGTTATAAAATATAATAATATATTAGGGACTGTAGCAATTAATATGATGCCTTGGTATTAAATTCATTGCATCAAAATCGCCATATTTTTTTTTCCCTCCCCCCAAGAAATTCGACAATTGCCTGAAAGCAATTGGGTCAAAAGCGTAATCGAAAATAATTAGAAACTATTTTCGAAGAATAACAACAGGTATATGAATTATTTTATAAATAAATAATTAAATTTGTTTAAAAGACAAGTAATTAATTGCTACACCTGATATAAATTTTACGTGTACAATAAAATTTTATTTCAAAGAGGACGATTAAAATTGTAATCAATTTAATTGTCTCAACTATCTCTCAATGATTATTTGTAAATAATTAATTACTCGTCATATTTATTTATTATAATAAATAATAAGAATGACTTTTTAATGGAAAAAATTTATTTTCTCTTATTAATATATATATATATTTTACGATAAAAGATAAGATATAATATATTATGCGAAATATATCGATGGAATTTCTTCGTCAATGATAGACATTAATTTAATTTTCTTGTTGTTGTTGTTGTTGTTAATTAACTTTTAAAAGTAAAAAGGGCTCAAATATATATTACAAAAATCTATACATTTCCTCATTTTGTTTTATTTTTCTCTTAATTTTGGTCTCGCCTACCTAAGAAAAATATACTCTTTCCATCCGTATGAATTACGTCGACCAATTGGGCATCAGTATAATCCAAACGAATGTGACTTGGCATTCCTTGAAAATATGGTTCCGCTGGATCCAAGCCTGTTATTCTGCCAACGTTACCACGTAATTTTTCACCAGCATAACCGGCTGTATGAGCACCAAGACTGTGACCTATCAGATGAACATCGTTTGGTTCCAATCTATAATTGGTCTGTATTTTTTTTTTTTTTGCAATAAAAACATAAGTGTCATTACGAGTATACATTATATAATCTTTTTAAAATCCGAAGTGATTAACTCTAACAAATTTCTCGATTAACGGTGTCAATCACTTTGGCTATTTCAAATAGACGGGTAAAAGATTATAAGTCAATTTTTTTTAGAAAAAAAAACATCAATATAAAGGATAAACATTAATATATTAATTAACATATTATTATTCTTAATTCGTGATATGAATATTTTATAAGTTCAATAACGCGTAACAGATACATATGTTATCAACTTTCACGTACACAACATTTAATATCTGATATTACATTGCATTATAAATGTTATAAGTGATTCCTTATGTTAATATAAAACCAATTAATTCGGATTAATATTCTTTTACCCGGTCACGAATAAATATATAAATTGAATAATTAGGTTTCTCTTCACCTGTAAGTGTTTGATCAGATGAGCTATTTCTAAGCCAACTAATCTTGTATTGGCTGTAGCTTGTGTATAAAGAGGTAGACTACCACCAGCCCAATCCACCACAATTACATTGTAATCCCCGTGTTTTAACAATTCGTTTTTCATTTCCTAGATAATGTCAATATAATTCGTTGATTTTCTTTTTCAATTAAACAATGTCACGATAGGTATATATTAAATGAAGCCTCACCTTTACCCAACTGCTAAGTGGTGTATCAATAAAACCATGAATTATAAACTTAGTCTTTCGTTTAGGATTGAAGTTAGAATATTTGATTGTTTTGTCCTTGGCTACCGTCAATACGTGACCCTAAACGATTATTTTATTATTATTCATTTCATCTAATTAATCGGTTTTGATAATAGTTTATAATGAAATCTATTTGAAAAATAACTCACTACAGTTGGATTGTCATTGGTGTAAAGGATGAAGCTTGTGTTGATGACTTCTCTTGGTAAAGGAAATACATTTAATGGTCTATACATTAAATGATACCAACTTCTTGTTATGTTCAAACAGCCTAACTCGTCGTAACATCTTGTTTCGTTCTCGACTGTAGAGATATATATATATATTTGAATATTTTTTAAAGATAACACACACGATATTTATACAAATTTGTTCGCGATCATTTTCTTTTGTTTTTATTTTATATTATTTTGATTTAGATTATGGTGAACCATAATGTTCGTGTGTTTCAATTAATATTTCCAAAATAAATTTTATAAAAAGAAAACAAACTATAAACAATCCCATTATGCAGTTTCAAAGTAAAATTTCAATCCAATGAACGCACGAACTTTTGCTTCACATTATAATTTAACATTTAAATGAATTTTAATATATATATATAGAGATGTATAAGAAGTTAGTACTTACATGGTAACCATGGTATGTTCACTTCGATTCGATCGCTTCTTGCCCATTGAAAGGGATCCAAAATTCCGGCGGAGCAAAGAACAGGAGTCAATGCGACCAGGAGCAAAATGATTACTCCTGCGACCTCACTGACCTCGTATTTACTCGTATCGCTCCTCCTCATCCTGCAATAAATGATTCAAATTAAATTCGATCTTTTTTTTTTTTTTTTTACTACTTTGCAGCATACAGATTTGCTGCTTCACGTGTATTCCTTTTACATTCGCCAAATATTAGCAACGTATCAACCTTTTCACTATTAGTATACATTTTCTACAAGTTAAAATTAAACTGCGATTTGTTCCGACACCCACCATATATATATATATATATTTGTTGAAAAAATAATATTTATTTAGTTATTTCTCTCGTCCAAAAATAAAATTATTAATAAATAAGTATCGTAGGGAAATTGGACATTAAAAAGAACTAGAACTTAATTTTGATTAATTGGACGTTTCGTCTCTTTATTGGGGACGCAACTTAATCTCTAAAAAGTTCAGCGTCTTGCTGAGGAAGTCCCAATAAAGGGACGAAACGTCCAATTAATCAAAACTATTATAAGTTCTATTTCTTTGTAATATCCAATTTCCCTACGATACTTATTTATTAATAAATTATTTATTTTCTCTTTTTAAAAATGATATGTCTCGTTTTTTTCTTCTCATATTTTATTACTTTTTATTCGTCTCTATCATAAAAGTTATAATATCTTATAGCGATTCAAGGAAAAAGTAGAAGAACGAGAAAAATAATTCGATTTTTTTCCAGCAATAACAATTTTTCCCCTCATTCCAATTCGCTTCTCTTCCCACGTCGTAAAAATCTAGATACAATTTCTAATTTTATTACAGAAGGAAACGCTTATGAAACTATTAAAATCCTGCAAAACAAGAGCCATTCCTTTCTCTCATATATTCACAAAGGAGACCAGCGACTCCTTTACTTTACAGAGAAAAAAAAAAATAACAAAAAACAAAAAGAGATTCTCCCCCCTCCGTTCAAAGGGAATCCTTTCGAAAGTGTGTCTCGCGAGATCATTAAAATTAAAGAAGAAACAAAATAATTCCGATTCAAACGCGAACAGTTTCAATAAAAAATTATAATAAAAGGAAACGTATGAGCAGAAGAAAGAAAAAATTAAAACAAATAAATTAACATATAATTCCGTGAAAATAAATCGATAATTATCAATCAAATTAAACGAGAATAAAATAAAATAAAGAAGAAGAAGAAGAAGAAGAAGAAGAAGAAAGAAAAAGGTTAACCCTTAAATAAATAACAAAACAAACAAGAATGAGGAAAAAGGAGAGTAAACAAATATAAAAAAATGAACAACAATAAACAAAGAAATAAAAGAAAGAAAGAGAGTGAGAGGCAGAGAGAGAGAGAGAGAGAGAAAGAGAGATAGATGATTAAAAATTGGTCACGAAATCTCTTGAGAAAAATAAGAAACCGGTCCTGAATCGGGATCGTGCATTTCACTTGAATAAATGATGGTGAGGAGAGAGAGTAGAAGGAATGTGTATGAGGAGGGGGAGGGATGGGGCCAGGGGGAATAGGTAGGGCCTGGTAAGAAGGAGAGTAGTATTCGGGTATTAAATAATCATTATTTCGAAAGTAAGAGTGTAAAATGCGGCGCCAAAGTAACCCGGTAACAACGTAACACAAAACAAAATTTCTTACAGGAGAAAGAAAGATAAAAGATATGTAAAAGAAGATGACAGAAAGATACAGACAGAGAGAGAGAGAGAGAGAGAGAGAGAGAGAGAGAGAGAGAAAGAGAGATACATATACGTATATGCATATGTATTTTGTATGTGTATATATATTTATTATAGTGTGGCCCAGATTCGACGTCCTTCCCTCCGGCAATGTTGTATCGCTTCCTGTTTCCACCCTTCTCACTGGCCCCTTCACCACTCTGCCCTTCTGGCTTCAGCATTTATTTTCTTTTCTCTTTCACTCGATTCTCCAACACGTCCTTGCTTCTACTCTTTTCTCTTTTTCTTTTTTTTTCTTCTTTTTCTATTTTTTTTTCCTTCTCTCTCTCTCTCTCTCTCTGTCTCTCTCGTGGTTTGTTTTTTTACGTTTGAAATTTTTGCAGTAAGATGACATATCTTTTTTTTCAATTTTTTTTCTTTTGTTTTGGTTTGTTTTCTTTTTATTATTTTAAAGAAAGAGGTATGTATATATATATATATATATATGGTGGTATGCGTTAGTCGGAGAGAAGAAAGTCGTCTAAACGATACACATGGGAAAAGTAGGCAGTCTCGAGAATATGATAAAACGTGGTATATATTTTTTTCTTTATTTCTATCTCTGATTGTGAGAGACGATTATTTTCAATGATTTTCATTGATCGATAATAAAAATTCAATGTGATTTATGATATGAGAAGAAAAATCTATATAGTATGATAATCGAGTTTTTTTTCTATGGGAAATTAGGATTGATCCTAGTTTCGATGGTATGTTTTTAATCATGTAAAATTTAAGTGATTTTTTTATATTAAGATTGTCGAGTGTAAGAATCAGATAATTATGAAAGTGATATAAGTAAAATATATATATATATGTATATTTGTACGTATGAATTATTTTTTTTAAATGGTTACGCATTATTACGGCATAGATACAAAAAAATGTTCAATTAAATAAAATTTATGAGAAATTAATTGATTTAATTTTTTCATTTCTTCATTCGATTCACTTTCATATATAATTATTGTATAATATTATATAATATATTAGGTTGTGGCAATTAATTGCATCCAAAAATATTGGCATTAGTTTATCTCGTCAAGAAATTCGATCGTTGTCTGACAAAAAAATAAAACAAAGTAATCAAAAATATATATATATATATGTATATATAATGTAAATTATTTCTAACAATAACAGATGTATGATTATTTTATTCAATGAAATATTAAATTTGTTTAAAAAGTATCGATGTAAATGTAAACAAATTTATATAAGATTATAATTATTAAATATACAATATAATAAAATATATTTATCGTGTATTACGTATGTATTTTATATTCGTAATCATTATTTTTCTAAAAGTAAAATAAAAAGAAAGAAGAGTAACAGAATAGAAAATACAAGATTGGACTTCTTTTAACAATTCAGGAAGGAAACGATTATGATCATCGTGCTCGAGATTATCGTGTTCGATGAACTAGATAAAGAGATATTCGCATAAGTTAGGAAAAGTTACTTGCATTACGTTAAATACACTCGGGAATAGGACTTTTGAAAGTGAATACAATTACGTAAACGATGGTTACGTCTCATCTCGATATATTCATTGAGAATAATTAAAGGATCTTTTTTATAATTTTTATCGATTTAAATTAATAAATGTAGAAGAAAAAGAAAACAAAGAAATATGTTACAAGACCTTTCTAAAAGAAACATTAATTTGTTTCTGTAAATATACCTTTTAATATCTATTATTATATTATTTTTAAATTATATATATATATTTATTATAAGTATCTAACATTACTTAATAACAATAATTCAAATAGGGTCAAACAAACACGCGAATTACAATGATTTACTTTTATATTTTATCTTTTCGTTAGGGATGTAACACGAATTTCAGGAAATGATGGTGTGCTCGCATAATAATAAACGAATTAGTTTTATTCAACGTGTCGTTCGTTGTCTGTTAGCGTGAATAATTGTGCAGGAAGTTATATGATCGTGTTTATCGTACCGTGATATATTCATATATACGCATATTAAAAAAAAAAAAATATATATATATAATAAGTATACTATAAATATTTTAATCTTTCTACTAATTTTCTGTTTCTCTTTCTCTCTTTTTATTCTTTTGATCATAGCAAGCGGAAATATTCTATGATTCTTTTTAAATTACTGGTAATCTTGGAACATACTAATTTATTAATCATCACCCTTCCCTCTCTTTATTTTCTCGATATTACTGTAGAAAGCGAATTACAGGGGAAGTAGATTTTCTCGCGTGTTCACGAGTAAATATCAATTTATTCTTTTGCCTTTACTCTTTTGACAGGTCTACGTTTATTTCCCAGCGACAATATTCTTTCAATTGATCTCTCTCTCTCTCTCTCTCTCTCTCTCTTTCTTTTTTCTTCTATTTATATTACATTTATTTCTATCTTTCTCTTTTTTCTTCGTATAAATATAAGATCATTCAAAAATAAATGAATAAGAAAGATAACAAATAACATATTTAATTTTAATCACACGCAACACAACGTTTCCTTTTATTTATTTATTTTTTTTTTTTCTTGCCCATATAATACAGGATGTGTTGATTTTTTCCGAATATTTATTTGTTTCTCATCTATCGGGGTGGCAAGAAATAAAGTAGAAGAAAATATCGAATTATTAATTTTTGAAACATCCTGTATAAAAGTAATAGTAATAGTACTAGCGATAGTAGTATTAGTAGTAGTAGTAGTAATAGTATTTGAAAGTTAAAACTTCATTTATTCTAAGACGATTTCTAATCCAGGAAATACGAATTAATTTCGAATTTATTTTCTAATTCCTTCCGATTATATTTACCAACTTTTCTATTGGCCTTGATCTTTTTCTACGTTTTTTTAAATAGAATTAAATTAGATCAGTGAAGGATCATTATCATGATCTAATCCAATCTTCTGATAGATCAGATTAGAATGAAAGGGAGAAAAATAGGGAGAGAGAGAGAGAGAGAGAGAGAGAGAGAAAAATTGACGACAGTGACGTAAGTATACCTTTCTTTCTCTTTCTATATATATATAAATGTAGTATCAATAAACTCGTATGTGAAAGGTACATCTAACACAAAATGATTTCTAATTCAAGAAATAATAATTAAAATTCTAATTTCAATTTCTATATTTTTTTTCTTTTCTATATTTTATTAATAAAATGGCCTTGTAAAGAATTTGATTTATTTTGAAATAATAAGCGATTAAAAACCAGTATTAAATCATTATCGTGATTTAATCCAATGTTTCAAGAGATTACGTAAAAAAGAGAGAGAGAGAGAGAGAGAGAAAGAGAGAGAGAGAGAGAGAAAAAAGATATATAGAAATTTTGTTAAGTAATATTGGATTGATTAAAAAGTTTCCTCA